TAGGAGGTTCTTTTCTATTTGTGTTGCTTTCATTGGTTGAATAAAGAAAGAAGCTGCCTTGGACTTTTGATAGGGCAGCCCTTAGGTGAGTGGAGTAGACAGAACAGAATTCTGGGAGAAGAAGACAGGCAGGGAGAGCCGCCATGCTTCTGCCCAAGACAGACGTTGGTTAGACTCATCCTGGTAAACCACAACCTCGTGGTAACACATAGGTTAATAGAAATGAGTTAATCAAAATGTGAGAGTTAGCCAAAAAGAGGCTAAAGCTAATGGGTGAGGCAGTAATTTAATTAATACAATTTTCCGTGTGGTTATTTTGGGGAATAAGCTAGCCGGGCAGCCGGGACACAGCCCGCTACTTCTCATACTACAGACAACCAGAAAATAGACTTTTTTCTTTTATTGCTTTTTCTCTCAATTAACCAAAAATGTGGTGCTTTGATTGACAGTTGGTGAGCCTCAGACTCCCTTCCTTTAATTGGCCCTTTCAACTGCACACTGAATAAGCCTACTCCAAAATTAGAATGCAGAGTCATGCTGCATTTCAAACTTTTTCAACACCTGATTACTGTTATTCTGATATAAGTACTAAATACAAATTAACTCACTTCTGAAAATCTAATGTATGCAGTGACTTTAAGTAATGAACAAATAGAACAAGTGACTCTGAAGAATTTGGCTATGTCTACATACACTTGATAGTAATAAAGCAATCATCATCATGCCAGCATTTCAGAATGTGTCCACAGTGATCACATTGTTTATATATAAGTCACTCTCAGTCAAAACACCTTCTGCAGTATTGGAGCATCTACTGTGAATATAAATTTCTAAATTTTAATAAGGGAAATTAGATCTTCCTTAAAACTTTACCTTTCACACAATCATTTCTATAATCAGATCTTTCAAGGATTTTCACAAACTTAGTATATGGTCACCTCCCATGAACTGCTTTCCCTCACCTTTTGTGGAATCTGGGCAAGGGCCCATGCGATTTCCTTTGCTTTGTCTTCTGACACGTTCCTGACCATTGACCCCAGAGAAAACACCACGATACCATGCTCTCCAGAGGTCTGGACAAAATCTTCCATTTCCTGTGAAGAGAATTTATTTCATAACAAATTATAGTTGTATAATAATCACTTATGAAACCATGGTGAAAAAACTAGGAGGTAAAAATTGAAATGTTTATAGGAATAACTAGTATAGTGGTGTTTAAACATACAGAAGACAAGAATGGTGATATCAAAGAATTTGAACTTCACTAGCACCCACACAAACTATACTCACACATTGTCCAACAGACATTCAAAATATTTTCCTCTGGCAAAATTAAAACTCAGGAGTGCAAGCATATTCTATGAAGCAGTCAAAAATTGTCGCTTCATTCATAAGTTTTCTCCCTACAGAAAGGGTAGTATTTTACCATTGCTATTTTATTTTTCTCCTTAATAGCTGATTTAATATTATTAACTAGTGTTTGATGAAATAATATTTATGTTATAGTATGTACATATGTGGTAGTTTTTATAAACTTCCTACTATGATTAATAAAATGTTTTGGATAATCATAACAGGATAAGCATATACTATATAATAATTTTCTGATATTGTGTATGAAAAGGGTATTTTCAGAGCTGATATCCAAAATTTACTGGTTGGAGAGAAACTATGTCTATGCTGTTTGCTTGGATATCAACAATGTAAGTTGTTATATAACTTATATTGAATGTAAGTTAATCATAGCTTTTGGTGATGAGAAGTTTATGATTGGTGAGTTTAACTTACTTAATTTCTCTGTCTTTTATGCATGTGTTTATATGTGTGTTTGCTTATGTGCACATTTGTGTTTGTGTATATGTGTGTGAACATGTATGTTCTTGTGTGCTTATGTGTCTGTGCCCATGTGTATGCTTATGTGTGTGTGTTTTGGGTGTGTTGGGAGGTTACTTGCCTTTGTTTAGCACATAGATGCCAAAAGTTAAAATCTAAAGTCTTCTTCCATCAATCTTCAACATAGGTTTTGAGATTTCTCACACTAAGCACAAATCTCACCTTTTTTTAAAACAGACTAGTGGTCAGCAAGCTCCCAGTATCAACCTGTTTCTGCCACCTCAGTGCAATGTCATTGTACTGTGCTGGGACACAAAAATTTTTCTCTGGGTGTTAGGATTCAAAGTTACATCCTCATAGTTGCTAGGTAAGGACTTTACACAATGGCTAACCACCTAAGTACCCTAGATAACCTAATTTAGTTCACTGATATAAATATTTCCTAGGTCTATCATATTTTTCCTTTGTTAATTGACCTCTTTTTTAGCAGGATGCTTAAGTCCACTTCTTATATATCTCCATCCCTGGGAGAAAAATATAATTAAAGTTGTAGAACACATTCACCAGAAAGGAAATCAAATGAAAAAGAGATCTAAAGAATGCATTTACCTTAGGCAAGGGTTTAGCAGCTTTGCAGTGGAGCCCTCCAACAAAGTCAACATTTGGTAAGGTTGGACGAGGAAACTCCAAATCCCAGTAGGTTCTAATGAGCCACATTTCTGCTTTGCCTATTGTCTCAGTTAAGGTAGTGGGCCTTCCTAGAAGGAGAAATGAGCAAGTGAGAAGGAGAAAAGTTGAATGATTGTCATTTGAATATAAAATATATTTCCGTAAAATGATAAAAGAATATATGTTTGATATGGAACATGTGCAATTAAAAACCAATGTTTCTTCATTTGTAACATAATTTACAGTGTAATTGATTTACATAATATACATAAATGTCAGTCTTGGGTTTATTTTTAAAGCAAACTGTAGGAATTACTTAATGTTTCCACAGTAATTTGAAATAACAAACAGTTATTTAAATAACCCACTAAGCTACTATTTAGTGACTACACATTTTACTCCTCTCTACATTTTTAAAAGGAACAGAGCAAATATAAACACACATTCCAGGTCCAAAAGTCATATCACACTGTGTACCATGGCCAGAGTTCTTCAGGGTCATTGTAGTTTGTAGCTTGTCCTTCATCCTTGTTTTGTTAAAGAGGCTGTATAGTTTATGAATGGCTGAATTTCTAGTTAGTGCTTCTACCTTTGTTTCATATAAAGAAATTTAATAATATTTATCTTACAAAAATACAGTATTTTCAGAAATTATGAGAATAGAAATTTTGGCCAGTCTTACCTATGAAATATTTTAAAAATAAAGGAAAGGAAGACTTCAAAAAATACAGACCGGGTACGTGTGTATCCATGCTTCCACAGTGTTTAAACAATAGATGTTAGGAAAGTACACAATAAAGGAATATGGTACTGGTAGAAACCCCAGTTTCACTTTTAACTAACTGTGAACTAACAGTATATTTTAAGAGTAAAGGAATTCTTTAGGAACTACAGAGAACATATTTTATAGTTTAAATTTTTATTTATGTATATGTGTATCTGTGTAAATATATACTAAGTTTATTCAGGAATTAGAAGAGACCATAAAAGGGCAGCAGGTCCTCTAAAGCAGAAGTTACAGGCAATTTTGAGTCACTGGTCCTGGGTTGGTGCTAGGTGCAGAACTCAGATACTCAAAATGAACAGAAAAAAACACTCTTAAACTTTTAGTCATATTTTCAGACCGCAAAGTTTAGTTTTAAATAAAGATAGTTGCCTATGCAAGAGAAAATAATTTCTTCAATGTTCTATACATATTGAAACTGTAAAATATTTCATTCTTTAATATGCATTAATTATGATTTGGCTAACTAGCTAGTTACTTATTAAAATAGATTAAAAATTATAGCAAAACAAGTAAGAACTACTTAAGAAAAGTCTACTTGCTTCCCTTTGCAGCTCTGTATCTCACCAGAATGTCCTGTATCAGGTCTGATACCTGTTTCTCTTTGATCAATAATATGAGCCTTTACAGTGAGTTTGTTAGCTAATGCCATAATACCTTTGATCACCTATAAAAGGCAAGTTTACTTTGCATTTTATGGGCATGACAATAGATTTAAATAATTGTGAAACTTAGGTCTCTGAGCTACTGATAAGAATCATAACTTACCTAACGTTTCACTGTAAAACTGACTCCATTTCTTCTCATTATATGTCTCGAACCAAAAGTCAAAATACAGCATACACATCATATTTTTTACCCTCTCCATGAATGTCATTTGACCACCTAGTCCTGATAAAATCATGGGTACATAAGAGGGAGGGACTAGAAATTTCCCACTGTACTTTTCCATTGTATAGCCAGGAGAGAAGCGAAGACTGTACAGAAAAGGGATCTGGAGAAGTTCAGCTATCAACTCCCCACAGGGAGCAATGGCATCCGAGAAAAGGACATCAAACTTAGATCTCCGTAGTTTTGACATAAGTTCTTTGTTTAAAACGGTGTCTCTGCAAAGCCTCAGATAGCTATCAGAGAATTCATTAATCAAATTTTGTAGCAAAGGAGAGAATGATAAACACAATTCTCTTGGTATCTCATAAGTCCACACATCCACAAGCATTGTAAAAATCTTGTCCATATCATCTTTACTGATAGACGTAGAATAACTCTCAAACTTCAGACCAGGTGATTTTTGGGGATCAAGAAAGATAGAAGCTGAAGGTCTCAGAACTGTCACTTCATGACCCCTCTGTACAAGTTCATCCAGTATTGTCTTTAGATTCATCCAATGACTGTATTCCAATGGCCATACCAACACCTTCCCACAGTTCCCAGATCTGAAATAGCAACTTATCTGCAGGAGCAGCAGAACAGACATCCACTTCATAGTCATCTTGGGACATCAAAGTTTTCTGTTCACAGTGTGTCCCTTGTCATCGCTTATATTTATATATAACAAGAAAAAGCCTTGAGTTAAAATATAACTGGAGTAGATCAAAGCAAATGCAGTAAATGACCACAGTGAACTTCTGTCTAATGGAGATAGTAAAAGCAAATATTAATTATTCACATTTGCACCTCAGTGTTTAATGACAGGTGTTTTGTAATGAAGCAAATTCAAGAGTCCATGACCAAAAAAAGAGGTGAAAAAAAAGAGTCCATGACCTGTTTGCATAACTGTTCTGTTTCTAAAATATTTGAACAGGAGCAAGAACATTGGTTAGTGACAGGTTAGTCAGAAATTTCTTCTCAAGAAAGAAGCCAATATGAATACTTGCATAGATTATAAGTATTTTACTGTTATAATTTTAAGAAATTATTATAAGAATGGTGGTAAATGTATTCACATGCATATAATTTCTTAAATAGCTTGGTAGTACACCTAACGAACTCTACTGACAGAAGCCCTGGGAAGCAGATAGACAAGAGCCTCCTCCTACACATGTCCCTAGGGAAATAGAACACTAGCAATTGAGTTGTTAGACTCATAGTTGACAGACTAACCTGAGATATTATCTGCTAAGGCAGTCAGTTGGTTCATCTTACTTGTCGCACAGGCCTTTCATAAGCCTGAGAAGTAGTTGAATAGCTTGTTATCAGAATCTAGTCCACAAAGGCTCTAAAAAGTAGATGAGTACATGCATCTATATTCCCTCCTTTTAAGGGAACACTATGACCACCATTTCTGAGGTCATCAATGTCTGTAAGATTGCACATGCAGATTCTGGAAACTAACATGTGACTTTAGTTATTGGATGACCTAGGATCAGAAGAAAAACAGAAAATATGCTAATTAGAGATCTTAAATATAGATAAAAATCTGTAATCAAGTGATCAAAGAGTCAAGTTTGGGGTCAACCTGGTGTACAAGAGTGACTTTCAGGACTGGCTTCAAAGCTACAGAGAAACCCGGTCATAATAAATCAACAACAGTGTCCTGTATTGTTGTATTATAAACAGTGTGAACTTTTTGTGATGGGCAATATGTCATTGATCATTAATGTTTCTTTGTGGTTTTTGAAAAAAATCCTGCTTTAAAAGAAAACAGTTATAAAATTCAATGTGTAAAAGAGAAGGTAAGTACACAATTCTCCCTATAATAGGCAATTATTTTTACAATGAACATCTTGTTCCTGGAATACAAAAATACAACACCAGCTCACACTTTATTCTCTTGCAAGCAAAAAATATACAAAAATTGGTTTTATTTTTGACTTTTCTGAAACGAAACAGTTGGCTTCCTATCACTTTTTAGCTTGTTACTCATGCTACAGTTTCCCAGAGTCTTACCCAGAAGGTCCTTTTGGGGGACCCTGGTATTGGGACCTAAAGTATCTGGTTTCATATCCTTAAATCTCCAAAACACCTGTTAGAGGTTAGACAATAATTTGTATCAGATTTCAAAACTTAAAATCTAGTATTGTACAAATTAGACAGTGCATAGCTAAATGCCATTTGATTCCCCAGTGTGGAAACCAGGTAAAGAGACATTAGACCATAAGAACTATCAAAACATAAGGCAGAGTATGGCAACACCACCTATGACTTTTTTATATTTAATCAGGTCGAATGTCATTGTGATTAATTATGTGCAGTTATGTGCATACATGAGAGAGTTAATGAAACATGAATATATTAAAGAAAAGTTTATATGTTCATAAGTCATCTGCATGTGTATTTAATATAATACTTCTAATTTTCCATTCTTAATTTCATGCCAATTTAAAATAACCACATATCTAGGTTAATATGATATAATTCTTGGTTTATGTATGTGCAGTAGTCCTGTTGACTGCAAGATGCAGGAATCTCAGTTACTTCTCTAGCATGTTTGACTGCATGCCAACTTGTCACACCGTTATGTTGATGAACTGAACCACACTCAACTGAAAATGAGTGTTTTTCTTTATAAGAGTTGCCGTGGTCACAGTGTCTCCTCACAACAATAGAAATAACAATAGGTTAAGACGGATTCTGAACCCATTTTTAGGAGTTATTAGCTTATCACATTAAAGATTTGCCTTTGAAAATCCACTCAGCTTCATATTCTCACTTGAGTTCCTGTTCAATATCATCATCTTGGAACTCTACCTAGGAAGGTTCCTGTGAAGTATTTAGCTAACTATATCAGCAGCTTCATTCAATCTTACAATAAGCCAATGTGCTCTGCCACCTCCAGACTGCCATAGGAAGTAAAACTTTGTAACCCAATTGGCTCAAACTGTAGCGATCCTTCAGGAAAAAAAAAATGAGTATGACTTTTTATTCCACTGGTATCAATTTTAAGTTTCTGCATACTTATATGCAGACTGATGAAGAAATACGATAGCCTCAACAGCAATAAAATTGTCAGGAATCCTGGTATGAGGGTCTTTTCTTAAAGAAGTCCAAAGGAGCAGAAAGTAGTCCCATCCACCCTTTATTTTTCCTAGGCTGCTGCCACAAATGCGAGCCTGATTGTTTTGACCTCTGTTGAAACTCTTACATTCCTATGAAGCACTCAGCTAGTTTTACTCATTTGGACTCCAAAGAGGTTGAATAGTTCATAATCAGAAACACTACCTAATAACATGAGAAATAAAGTGTTAGTGTCCATAAATTCACATCTCCAGGAAGCAGAAGGACTAGTCACTGATGAGAATGTATCCACCTTCAAAAAACTGTTACCGACCTTGGATTCTGACTGGAAGCACTCTGGGCCCAAAGGTGTGACTTCGCTCATGGGCAATAAACCATCACCCTATATTGCTAGCTGACAATATACAAGGCCCATCATGTGTTATCAGTACAAAGCTCCAATCAATACTTATTCAGGCAGATAATAAATGTTTAAGACTGTGGGGGCTGAGAAATGCAGAACCATTTCCTACATTGTCTGGCAGTCAGAGAATCTGAGAAACTAACTGGCACAATCTGCACCTCCAGACACAGGATGTTGTCGCCTGGCCTCTTTTGAAGTTGGGTAGCTCTGTGGTCAGGATATGCTAATACGATTCTGCTCCTTCCATTTTAACTATGAGGACACCCGGGAAAGAGGTTTTATTCTGCCTCTTTACCAAGTGGACTTGAGTAAAACATGACTTAAGTCACCTAGCTACCTAGGCAACAGATTGTTAACGAAGTAATACCTGCTCCCCTGCTTTACCTTCATATAAAAGCTGTTGGGAAAATAAACGCGGGTGATTTCCGGATCTGAATAATCACTGAAATTCCCTCCTGGTGCTGTCATGTGATTTTTGTCTTCCTTTTTCCCACACGTCTACCCTGGAAAGAAGTGGTTTTTGTTAGGGTGGTCCCCAACATAAAACCAAGCTAACAAGGTGTAACTTGCATTAGAATGCTTATTTGTTTTCATCCTACAAATTTTATTTGTGAAATTTGAGAGAAAATGCTATAAAATTTTTCGTTGGCAGTTTATTTTTGACACACTGCTCCTTGTTTGGGTTACGGAGACCTACGGATGCTCTTTGAGAATGTAGTGAATTTATGATAGAAGACATGTGTGACTTAACAGGAGAAAACAGACTTCCAAAGATGGGCCTATATAAGGCTCATCTTCCTGCTTTTTTCCCTTGACCATTGGCCCTCTCAACCTTTCACTTGTCATTAGGTTTTAATGAGGGGTAATTGTGATGCCTTCGTGTGGCAATTTTCTCTGAGATAAAATCTTTCATCTTTTAGGGGAGTTCCTTAAGATCAAGAATAACTTGAGAGAGAATAAACATTCCACCCTACAGGAAAGCTCTCTAGACTCAGGATGTTCTGAGGGATACTGAAACATCCTATCCTGTAAGACAGCTTCTTGAGTCTAGAAAGTTAACAACTCAAAAAATTTCAGGAACTCTCTGAGACCAAATAGATTCACTTGACCCTCTATAACATCTTATAAGCAGTAACAATTGTTATGATATCCTCTCTTACAAGATGAATAACCTGAAGAAGGAAGAGACAATCCAAGCTGTCTGGAAGAGTTTCAGGACAACTGAGCAGCTTTGTAGAGACATTTTCTAACCTGTCAAACTGACTTCAATTTGTGCAGTGAGCTCTAGTTTTCAAGATTACATGAGACTGATGATAGGGACTTTAACTTGTAGTTGAAACAGAACAACCACAAAATTGTTCTAGCATAGTAAAATCTTGACAAAAGTATTAAAATAGCTACATAGGAGACATATTAATATATGGATACATTAACATATCTAATATGGCCTATTAGAAAATGCCACAAAGGATCGACTGCTCAAAAGATTATACCTGATATCAAAGATATGTGATAATAAAGAGTTACAGGATGAGACTAGAATACACAAACAGATATAAAATATTCTTTCATTTAAGTTAAATTTCATTTAAGAGTGGCAAATAAATTACTCATTTAAAACAAGGAGTTATTTTAAATTTTATTAGAATTCAGAGACATGTTCTCAAGCTCATCCCTATAGCAACTGAGAAAATAATAGAGTTATTTAAGTTGTTCTTCAATAAAATTATTTTCACGTTTGGACTAGCTCTTGTGATCTAGCTGCTCCCACTCCCCCTGTCAGACAACAGAACTTCCTTGTAGTCTATAATTGACAAGGATGTTGATGTTTCTGGCCAGTAGTTTTCTACAGAAGCAGTAGAGGTATAAAAGGCTTTAGCTGAGTCAAAATAAAGCTTGCTGTTCTACCACCTGAAAAGAAGCCTTCTTGTCTCAATCCCAGCACCCCCTCCATTCTCGGCATCCAGGCTGTGCTTGTGGCGGGGCAACTAGCAAACTCTATTCAAACTGATAATGCACCTCGTCTTCCTTTTCTTCCCCCTTCTCCTCTCCTGTACCTCTCCCTTTGAGACAGTATCCCATGTACCCCATCCGAGCTAACCTTATAAACCTTATAAACTTTAAGTGTAAGCATTTGTCTTCCCTTGATGAAACTGAATCATCTTATTGAGGACCCTGCTGGGCTCTGAGGTCTATCGGCCATTGTTAATAAAGTTTTTTGCCTGAAGGATGGTTCAACTTTGAAACTTCTCTCCAACCCATCTTCTCCAGTTCCTCCAGCTATGTAGACATCCGACTTTAAAATTCTGTTTTTCTTGACTATATCAACTATGTACTGGGCTAATTTGAAAAGGAAACTACTTTCAGTTCTATTTTTTGGTTCTAATGTCACAAAGTGGTGAATGAAGCGTTGCAAATAACTTGGAATATGCTGTATAGTAGAAATTTTACTTGATATGAAAAGTGAAAAAGATGAACTATGTCCTTTTTTTTGGAGGCAAGTGTTTCCTGTGTATCTTTGGAGTCTGGCCTGGAACTTGTTCTGTAGACCAAGCTGGCCATGAATGCACAGAGATCTGATTACCTCTGCCTCCCGATTGCTGACATTTATGCCATGCACGACCACTGCCCTGCATTAAAAGGAATTCTTAATATTGTTGAGAGACCCTATTGCAGTCAGTTAAAGTTTAAATTGTTTCTTTACTCTGAATTAGAGTGTCATTTTAAACGGACATGTGAGGGTACATAATCACATGAAGACCTAAACCAAGAAGGTTTAAAACAGGACAGTGATCCACATTGTTCTCCTCATTGCTCAGATCCAAGACAACCTGCATTGCAGATTAAAATAAAATAGCCAAATCCATTGGTTGAAGGAGTTTCCATAGAAGCCTCATTATATTTATGTCTTATAGGCCTCATTATAACCATGCACTACCCAAAGAGCAAGCTGTGCCACGTAGCCTCTGTTAAGTGTCCCTCTCCTCTGACTCTTCCATACTGCACAGGTCACATATTAATAAATCTATTAGCACAAAAACTCCTTCTCATAAACATTGAGGAGTAGATACATCCCTTTGCCTGGTGGGACTGAATCATCTCACTGAAGAGCCCCAATTGTTTTCTGATACTCAACTGTCTGCCAGTTTTAAAGCTCTTGCTGAAGATTATTCAACTTTGGACCTTCTCTTGATTCCCTGTTTTCCCAATCCCTCCATAATAATCTTCAAGACCTAATTGAGCTTCTTGAAATAGTGTATAAGAGAACCCATCTATCCTGTGTGGCAGCTTGTATCAACCCTTTAGGTCAGAAAATGAAGCTAGGATTATGCAGCACATACAGAAATTGGGTCAGATAATAAACAATTGACATTAGTATTATTTGTTTGATATATATTGTATACCTTAATTTGTGAATATATTTTGTAAGCTGACAGTCTACAAAAGATCTTACTACAAAGGAATGAAGCCCATTTTTTTTTTAGCATATATCATGTTCTACAGAGAAGAAAAATTTTACCCTTCCTCATATTCTATTTCTCATAGCCAACATTGACCGATTTCTGGACTCAATGTTTAGATGTATGGACAAATGTTGCTCTCAGCCTTAATCAGAGAAGGCCCTCTTTGCAATGAACAACTGTAAATGAAGCATGTCTGCTCAATATGCTGAGAATAAGTGGCACCTGAATGTTCAGCTCAAGACAGTGGATTTATCCAACCATTTCTGTGGCTGAAGTAATATCATAGAAGAGAAAATCCAAATTCTGTGACCATATACATAGGGAGGAAGGCTATAAAATTGCCTCTGGCCCTAACTCAGCCTATGTAGTCATTACCTCTCAGCAGCTGCAACTGTCTGCAGTAAGCTAGTGCAACATTTATCTGGCGAACAGAAAGAAAAAAAATGACTTTTAACAAACAACAAAGCCAAAGCAACAGTATTCCTACCTCAATTATCCTAATCTAGAAAGTGTTTGGAAGCTTGACTACTAAGCTATTTTAGATCCTATCAAATAACATCAATATTTTCTATTGTATGTGAATCTTTTTCCCACTACCTTGAAACTCTAGCATGTCATTTCCAAGAAAAGAGTTTACTCTTTGATGCCATTGGTTCATAAACTAAAATGCATTCCTTCAGACTTTGAAAATTTGCCACAGTTAACAGTCATACCATGTTTAAAAGACCAAAGTTCAAAATGTCTTATGATACTAAAAGTGATCATGTTTTCTGTATGCTTGTATAAAATCAAAGCCAGGTTACAAAATTCTGTCAATCAATGCCTCATGATAAATACTTCCAATTCAAAGCATAGAACTTGGAGTACAGCATGAAATAATTGGGCCTGAGCGGGATTTCCACTTAGCAAGGAAAACACTAACTTCTGTAGTACCATGTCTTGCAATTTGGCTTGTGGTATAGTCATATGGGCTTCAAAGAGATTGGGTAGTCTCTTCACTTTTATTTGGTCATCTGCAACATATAAACCATCTGCAACATCACTGCTACCTTCTAATTTTAAAATTTTGAAATTAAAATGTTTTCCTCTTTTTCTTCCCTCAACTTCTTCTCTGTACCCTTTCCTTGCTCTCTCTCTCTCTCTCTCTCTCTCTCTCTCTCTCTCTCTCTCACACACACACACACACACACACACATACACATACACACATGCAAGCAGAAACATGCACACAATACACAAAAAGAAACAAAGACATTATATATATATATGTATATATTTACCTAAATATATAAATACAACCTGCTAATTCCATATAATGTTTGTTGTATGTATTTTATTTCAGTCCATCCCACCTGGAATTTGATAAACAATATGGGGACTGTTCCTTAGGAAAGACTATTTCTCCTACTCTGAGTATTTCTTAGTTGTCTCCAGTTCTTTGTCTAGGATTAGGACCATATTCACTTTCTCCCTTTGGTGTTAGTATGTCTATTAGTCTATTTCTTATTCAGGTTATGTTTAGGCAGCCATGTTGATGAGACTTCATGCATGTGACTTCATTGACATTTCTGGAAGAGAGAATCTCGCACAAGACTTTCTGTTTCTCTGACTCTTAAAATTTTTCTACCCCTTTCTATGTTGTTCCATGGCCTTAATAATAGGTGTTGTGCCTTACTAGACCTGGATGGAGGATGGAGGTGGGTGGTCCTTGGACTTCCCACAGGGCAGGGAACCCTGATAGCTCTTTGGGATGACGAGGGAGGGGGACTTGATTGGGGAAGGGGGAGGGAAATGGGAGGCGGTGGCGGGGAAGAGACAGAAATCTTTAATAAATAAATGGAAAAAAATAATAGGTGTTGTGTTATAGATATGTAAGTTGGAGCAGGGCACCAGACAATAATGTGTGCTCTGTATTTGATTGGTTGTCATTTTCTGTATAGGCTCCATGTGTTGTACATAGAGATTCAGTTTCTTTTTTATGATGGTGAACACTGCTCTTATCTGTAGGTATAAGAATTAATATTTATAATATAGCTGGAAATTATGCTGGTTTAGGAAAGTTCATTGTAAGTTTTCCTGGAAGATCAATAATATCATCAGCTCCAGATAGTTAGCTAGATTTTCAGTACTGGGCATGATTTTCCTCCAGTTAAGTGGGTCTTAAATTCAATTATCAAGCTTTTTGTTATCACCAGAATAGGGAACCACTATTGTACTCTTAGGTCTATTATGCCAGGCTGGCTATTATTATAATTCAAAGTCATCATAGCTGGGTAGGACCATTGGTGTCTTCTCTATACCTTGCAAGGTGTCTGCAGCTAGCAGGAAAGTTAGTCTTCAGGAAAGTCTTTCCGGTCAGATTGAGCTCAGCTGCTATGGCTCCTTTGTCTTAAGTGCAAGGTGTCTTCTGCAATAAGAATTTATTTTCCACCTCTGGGGAGCAACCAAAATCAATAGCAACAATCTTTAATGCTTTGAGAGTCTTTTGACAACCCTAAGCAACAACTCCAAATGTGACTTCTCATGCAATTTATGACAGTTTTTTCCCCAGTCTAGAATTCTTGCAGGAATTTTTGCAATCTAGGTAGGAAAATTACATAAAAACTGTACATGTATATGCATATGCAAACTTATATGTACTATGTGTATCTTTAGGTAAACATATCCTTACTATTATTTTACTCTCTCCATTTCTCTCTCTTTCTTTCTCTCTCTCATGGTTATCTTCATCATTTCTATGTTTTGTGTTTGTGATTTCTTAGTTATAATCAGATGTTTCTTCTATTTAATTTCATTTTCTTTACATTCATTCAGATGTTTCTTTGGTCTCTGTTACACTCCTTGAATTATTGGATAAATTTTAAGATGGTTATTTTAAATTCTGTATGCTATTTATGTAATTCTCAATGGAGAACATTTTTATATTTCTGAAGGAGTGGCAGGTTTGTTGAGGGAAAATGGACTCATCCTTTTATACTGTTTGTATTTTATGATACTATCTGGACCTAGGGACTTCTTTTGTGAACTTCTATGTCTAATGTGGCCACAGAGTCTGAGACAGACTACAGTATGTACATTGTGGAGTGGGCGTGAGCATTGGATGTAGCTTACGTGGAATGAAGTCCAGTGGACATGGAAGGATGGGTGCTGTGTAAATTCTGTCTTGTGATCAATATTTGGAGTTTAGAGATAAGTCTGATGGTTTAAGAGGGAACTTGGAGGGAAGGGTCAGACAGACTAAATAAGCTAAGCTGTACCCCAAAACAGGATGTGCAGACCCAGATGGGGCTAGGGGATTGGATGTGGCAATTGTATGTGGAAGAAAGATGATGTGGGTCTTGGGTAAAGCCTGGAGACTGAGAGTATGGTAAGCAGGGCTGTCTAGACAAGTTCAGGGCACTGGATGGGGAACCTGGGTTAGAGATGTGGTGCATTGAGAGAAGACCTGGTAAACTTCCAGAGTTAGATTCTGTCACAACATGCATGGCCTGGATGGGTGGAGAGATTAGATACAAAGTACATAAGGACCTTTATGCTCTCTGTACTATACTATACTATTTATTTATTTATTTAAAGATTTCTGTCACTTCCCCTCCGCCGCCTCCCATTTCCCTCACCCTCCTCCAATCAAGTCCCCCTCCCTCGACAGCCCAAAGAGCAATCAGGGTTCCCTGCCCTGTGGGAAGTCCAAGGACCACCCACCTCCATCCAGGTCTAGTAAGGTGAGCATCCAAACTGCCTAGGCTCCCACACAGAGACCCACATTGGAGCACCGGACTGAAACCTCAAGGTTCAAATCAGGAGAAGAAGGAGAGAGAGCACGAGAAAGGAACTCAGGACCGCGAGGGGTGCACCCACACACTGAGACAATGGGGATGTTCTATCGGGAACTCACCAAGGCCAGCTGGCCTGGATCTGAAGAAGCCTGGAATAAAACCGCTGAATATAGCGGACAATGAGGACTCCTGAGAAGTCAAGAACAATGGCAATGGGTTCTTTGTACTATACTCTTCACATGTAGATATTACCAGTGAATGCTCCATGGTCCTGGCATCTCCAATAGCCTGGTATCTGCATTCCAACTAAGGCTTCACCTTAATAACTTTATGCAATAGCCTCTCATGGCATCCTAGCATAGGTTCATATGCTACTACTGATATCCTTTCTAAGGCTTCTAAGTTCAGAAAAGACTTCATGTCCACAGTCCCGCCTCTCTTCACAGAGAACAAACTGCTCCCACTTCCCTTTCTCTCTCACCTCTCCACCACATATTTGCTCATCATAATGCTGCATGCCCTGAATAATGGCGAGGGCACTCCTTAGTTTTTAAATTTTCATTTTTGTTTGTTTTTGTTTGATAAAGAAGAGGGTTTATTTCATGCCATAGCTCCCTGTCCATTGCTGAGGAAATATAGGCCAGGGGTTCAAGGAAAAACTCAGGATGCAGGACTGAAACAGATACTATAGAGGAAATATGCTTACTAGGTTGTTCCTTATCATTTGCTCAGCTTTTTTTCTTTTCATTATGTCTTTTATTTTGTGAGATTATAACATAATTGCATTATTTCTCCCTTCTCCTCTAATGAATACATGCCTTGATAGAGTGATCAGTGAATGTTCAGAAGACCGTTCATAAACTAGAACGATGCTGAAATGGAGTTCATGTGCCTTCTCTACTCTCTCTTCGTTTTCTTTCCTGTCTTTACAAACTTTCGATAAATGAATACGAAGGATTTTATGGAAAGGAAAGCTATGGCTGCCACACAGGCCAGTAGGAATCCAATCACATCCAGAGAGTGGTACTGGTACCAGGTGAGGTTGTGTGCAAGTGGCCTCAGGTGCTTGGCCCCTTTGTGGCGCATGACAAACTCAATCCAGAAGATGACTCTGTCCAGGGGTTTCATGGGCTGGTCATGGTGAATTGTTGATAACCACATTGCATTCTTTTTATAGCTGGCAGAAGGAAAACAGACATTAACTTACATAAGAAATGAAAAATGCACATGTGTAAACTTATGTGTAAACATTAAAGTTAATCACACCATATAGAATGAAAATATATTTGTTTCATGTTCATGACAAGGAAGATCTTCAGGGGCATGTTTGAGTTCCTTGAGCATGCAAGATTAAGTATTTTAAAAACAAAAATAAAAAAGATAAAATATTCCTAAAGTAGAGTTTAGAGATAGCTAAGTATTAAATACAAAATAAATCAAAATGATGTATTATTTGAGTATATAAAGCTTCAGTTACCCATAAGAAATTACTAGTAAATTTTGTGTGCAAAATGTGTGCTAGTGTTAGGATGTACAAGTAGAAGGCAAATCACTTGAGTCCTCATGGTGGTGCATATCTGTGTAAATTTGATAAAAATTGAAAAGAGATTTTTATGGTACATCTATCAATGATTAGTGGTTTTAATTACAAATGTGTCCTGGTTCTTATTAATTAGCTTTAATAGCTTCTTCTCATTGTTTTTACATTTTTCTAATTAAGGTCATCAAATATTTCATAAAATTAATTGGAAAAATAATTTTCTTCTCTGTTATTCTATTGAATTTTTATTACTTTTATGATTCTTATTGTAAAGTATAATCACAATAAATTTTTGCTATTACTTTAAAATATGTGTGTGAGGGAGTATGTGTGTAAAGTGTGTAAACTGTGTGTGTATATGTTTGTGTGTGTGTGTTTTTGTGTGCTATGAGATCTGCTGGAGTTAGAGTTACAGATGTTTGTAACCAACTGTTGTAAGTGTTGGGAACAGAACTCTGGTCCTCTGCTAGGGTAGACCTTTGCTTCTCTACAGAGCCGTCTTTCAAGCCTAATTTTTGCTCTTATTGTTGATATTCGTTTTCTGTTAGCATAGCAATTTTAGAAGTATGAGTTGTAAAAATTTCACACTGAAGATCAAACACAAGGTGTACTCGATTCTAATGCTGAAAAAATTATTGATGAGCATATAAAGAAAAAGGGTTATAAAGACAAGTCATAACTCTGATGTCAGTTTAAAGCAGTAAAAGTAGCCATTGTAATAATGGTAACTTATTCTCTTTTTATTTATAAAGCAAAATGAGAAAATTATGTATTTATTCTCATTTAATAATCATCATTTCATAGTATGCATGTTACATTTATTTAAAATTTAATTTGTAACTTATCTGGTTATGAAATGAGAAGAGTGGAAGCTCTTTAGAGAAGGGTGAGGAAGGTTAATACAAAAGAAGGGCTGACAGTAATAAAGTACCAATAAAAATATCAGAAAAAGCCATGAATAATTTTACTATTAATAATTTAATCAAATCTCCCATAACACATACAATTTAATGTATAAATATACACATGTAATTTTAATGATCTTTTCCTCTTCTGGACTGATGGTGCTCAATCGAAGAGTCAAAGAGCACCTTACACTAACCTCAATACCAAACACGAAAATCCTTTTTAAGAGGTTGGCCAAGCCTGTCAAAGAAACTCCCTAAACATAGAGCCTATTGATGTTGCTTATTCTCTATGATGTTGCAATGGTGGAAGGTAAGTTTCTATGGCTGAATGAGCATTCAACTCAGAAGCAGAGCCCAGAGACCTCTCTGCTGTAGCTGACTTGACATCCCCCTACCTGAAAATTAGCTTTTGTGGTATAAAACAGTAGAGAGGATTGAAAGATTTTAAAAGCCAGAGGGAACTGCTGTGAAGTTGTTTCTTTGAAACTACACTCACGAAGTCTCAACAACATGAGTACCTAAACAAGATCTGAATAATGATGACACCTATAGTCATCTTTAACAACATAGGTCTGTAACAAAATCAGAATAAGTATGAAACCTAAACTCATTCTCAAAAACATAGGTCCCTAACAAAATCTGAATAAGTATGACATCTATAGTTGTTCTTAGCCAAATAAGTCCCTAAACAAGTATTTGATGTGTATCTTTTTGTGTAAACATTAAATATAATTACATAGTATTATCACAGTAATTTGTGTGAATAAGATTGCTTATTAAAGAAGTGACTTGGTCCCAAGACAAGACTGAACAGAGTCAGGCAGGTAAAACTAAGCTGAATTCTGGGAGAAAGAAGGTGGAGTAAGAGAGAAGTTATGCAGGAGGAGTTAGTTAGCAGGCGATTACTGGTAGGCAAAAACCACATGGCAATATACAGATTAACAGAAATGTGATAATTTAAGTTACAAGAATAACAAAAAATATGCATAAGCTAATAGAGAAAGAAGTGTTGTAATTAATATAGTTTCTGATTGGTTATTTCGAGTCTGAGTGACTGGGTACAAACAAGCAGCTTCTTCCAAAATATCTGAATAAGGATGATACCAGTAGCCACGCTAACATGAAAAGAGGTAGCTTTCGCTCTGGTCCTAACTCTACTGTCTCTGGAGTTTTTCTCTGTCTCTGTTTCTCTCTCTGTCTCTGTTTCTCTCTGTCTCTCTTTCTCTCTCTCTGTCTGTGTGTGTGTGTGTTTGTACACAAACATTCCTCAGTAAGCTTCCTGAGGCACTCAATTTGACAATCTGTTTTCAAGAATACCATAACATCAGCTAATCCACATCTTCTGCTGGTCTCTGCAGAAAGTAAGAGTATCTGATAAATACCCTCCACTCTTCAGTAAGCACAGATACTGTGAAGTTACAACTTTTATAAAAGTTACCTATCTCTTTTATAACATTCAATTTCTCTGTTGTAATATTTTCCTATGGCTTCTAGGTGTACGATATCTGGTACCACCTCTAACATTTCAGTGTTGCAAGGAGGGCCGCATGTTGTTACCTTGTCACCCAGCTAGCTTAGACCTGAAATAATCATATAGAAACTGCATTAATTAAATCATTAGCTCTAGTTTCTTATTGGACCACTCTTAAATATTAATTTAACCTATTTCTATTGATCTTTATATCACCACATGGCAGTGGCTTACCAGCAATGTTCCAGCATGTCTATTTCTGGAAAAGAGGAAATTGTGTGGGAGTTCCTTCTGTCTATGTGTTGCATTTATTGGTTAATGTATAATTCTTTTGTGCCTATAGCAGGGAAAAATAATGATGTGGGGAAAGGTAGGCTATATGATGGGAGAAGGAAGGCAGAGTCAGAGAGAAGCCATGAAGCCACTGGAAATAGACATGCTGAAACTTTGTTGGTAGGCCATGACCTCGTGGTAATATATAGGTCAAGAGAAATTGGTTAAATTAATAACTAAGAGTGATCAATAAGAAGCTAGAGTTAATGGGCCAAGAAGTGATTTAATTAATACACTTTTGTGTGATTATTTCTGGTATAGATGGCTGGGAACCAACAAAAAGCTCTCCCTTTCAGCAAATTGGTGTCAATGGGGTGGACTAAAATCTAGGTAAAATGTGAGAAAGCTTGAAAAGGAATTCTATACACAAAATTCAGAGTTTAACACAGCTTCTTGATGTTTGCTGTCGGTGTGCTGCAGCTCCCTTAAGAGAGGTTTTTCTGATTCATTTGCGACCATTTTGAAATGCCAGCTTTCTGGCCTTACTGCCAGTACGACCTCTGGCTCTTTTGGGAGATAGAACATTTGGATGGGTTTTGTGAAAAGACTGCTGCAACTTGCTTAATGTCAGCATGGACTGGCTGTATGCCTGACAATGGGGCTGTGGGCATGGCTCTCAGAGGCAGCAAACATTTCTGCCATGCTGGGCTGTGCCAAGAAAGCAGGAAGTTCCATATACATCATAGTAATTGTACAGCTTGAGTTTTAGCCTGGACAGAGAAGTAGGTAGTACCATATATACCATAGTAATCACACAATTTAAGTTATAAGAAGTGCTTAGCAATTTAAGAAGCACTCCTGGACAGTAAAGAATTATAGATACAAAAAAAGGACAGATTCAGAAATAAAAGACATTGAAATGGGTCACAGTGTTGGATAAATGCATGTAGCCTTGGGAGAGAGAAAGAAAAGATTATAGAAAGTTGTAAAATAAAAACAAGTCTTTAAAGAGAGAGAGTATAGACAATCATAGAATAAAAGGAACAATGAAAAATAAACCAGGTAATGATAATGGAAAATTCACAGAGTCTGGATTATATATATTATTGTGTTTTCTTTGAGTTTTTTTTTTTACTATAAAGAGCTAAGTAAGAGAGACATTTCATTGTATGGGCAGCTATGTAAACCAGCATGTATATTATAAAGGTATCATGACTTCCAAATTTGCGTTTAAGGATGTGTTGCTTTGGAAAAGAGGTTCTTCTCTTGTTTCCACAGAGGTTGATAACCTGTGGATTACTTCCAGACTAGTGTGGTTGATGGACCAAGACCCCATAAAAGGTTTTCTTGAACACCCCTCAAAAATTATTTAGTCCAATAAACAGTAGGAAGCATTTTGGGAAAAAAAACTACACTCAAATTTCTAAATATTATTTATAAATGTCTCTCTATATTTAAAGGGGGATATTTTATAGAGATTTGCATTGGTATGGATCTTGTTTTATTGATTCAAATCTAAGGTCAATTGCATTATATGTATATTTCTGCTCTTGATTAAGGTATTGTGATTGTTGTTCATTAAAAAATGTAATGTATGAGTAAGAAATATAGGTTACTTGATAGTCATCTATAATAGTCAAGTTTATAGTCATGTTAGGTTATATATATATATACATACATATATATATATATATATATATATATATAGAGAGAGAGAGAGAGAGAGAGAGAGATATTTCATTTAGGTATTCTTCAAATCATTCAGAGACATGTGGAATATGGCATTTAAATGTTTTTAAA